TTCTGGCTCCACAGAGGTGGAGCCTTTCAGGTACCAAACAGAGGGTGGAGAACCAGTGCTTAATGCATAAGGAAAGGTTACAATTCTCAGTAGTACCACTAAAAAAAAAAATCTGTATTATCGACGTCCTGAGAAAACACTCCTCCCTATATTAAACGGCTCACTGAGCATGACTGAGAGCTACTCAGACATAATTCATTCTCTCTCTTTATTCCTATCCCTTCCTCCCCCAGTTCTCACACTAATCTAACGGTCTGGTGCACCATGTATTCCCCATAGGAAGGCTACCTACATTAACATCCAGGGAGCTGGCCTGCTCCAGAAACCGGAGCTCAGAGCAGGGACCAGTCTCACTCCTCCAGCTGGCACTCAGGCAGCTTTCCCAGCCCCAGAAGGAAACACACAAGGTATTCCAGCAACGCCTTCTACTGAGCGAGGTGGAAACAGCAAGCACATAGCCCTACACGGTCCCAAGCTGCAGCATTCTCACCCTGGTTACCTTCTCATACAGGCTAAGAGCAGTAACACCAGAGTCACTGCAGCTATGGCCAGTCTAACCCACCCAGCTCCTTTGCTCCTGCACAGAACCACAGGCTCTTGCCTTCTGGCCACTACGAGATTGCTTCATCTTGGCCCCCTGAGCCCCTAAGCCACAGCAACAGCGCCCTCTCAGGTATTGCCCATGGCATGTACCCCAGTTCATCAGGGTGACCCCGTCTTTTGTGTGTGTGCCTCTGGCACAGCGAGACTGAAAATACAAATCTCCGCTGAGGGAAAAACGGGGCAAAAGGAAAGCATGGACTACAACCTTGATGCTGTGGGACCATATTCTGTATTTTTTTAAAGCTGGAATCTATAGCTAGATTTACATGCATATATGTGGTACAGTAGGAATTTGATTGAAGGAAAACTCATGTAGCTCATGAATTAGCTCTGAATTCAGCAATTTTTACACCCATGCCTATATAATTGCTTTAAAAGTTATGCATGTCCAAAAGCATCTTGGCAAATCAGGGGGCTGCTTAAAAGAACATTTAAAACCAAAAAGTAAATATATTAAAAATCAGTCCTTGAAAAATACCGCTCAGCAGCAGTGACCGAGTTTATTCTGTGAAAAGAGAAATCTTCCTACAGCAAAAAGAATAAAGAAAACAACCAGTAAAGAAAGACATTGTCTCCACTAAATGAGTGGAAGTAAGGAGTGAACTTTGAACATTGGGTTACATTTCCTTCTATGCAGGATAATACCTGCAATTTAAAATGAAATCCTGTTTTGCATTTATTTCAGTTGTTCTCAATGAAATATTTCAGAAGGCAGGTTCTGCCAGCCAGATGTCTGTCCCACATTAATATTGTTGTTAAATATTTTTGATAAATGACCAGTTGGGACCACTGTCCTTCAACCTGCTTCTTTTCTCTCAGACCAGACTACCATCCTAAACCGTAAGCGCAATCTAGTACTTTAAGCATGCTGCAAGAGAGAATGTGGGGTCTTCTGAGGAAAAATATAGTTGAAAACTATTATGTTCTTCCAGGACATACCTTGAGCAGATATACTGAAGCAGATCTTCTATTTGGCTGATAATTGACTGACATGTACGTCATGAACAGAGCCCCTTTTCCTATTGCTGGTGAATCAGTTCTCAAAAAAAACCCAAACCAAAAAACCCCCACCTCTTCTTCCCAGTGGAAGAAAAGTAGTCCATAGAGAAGCAGGATGTGCAGAAAGTTAGCCTCCAGGAGTAACCCAGAGACAAAGCAAGCCAAAGAGAAGAAAGGAGTTCAATTATGCTCTTACACTGACATTAATGGAAGTTGAGTTAGGTCCAGCATTAGTAGAAAAAAGCAGCTCTCCAAAGCACTGGTAGAGCAAACACTGTTGCCATAACTACCTCACTCCCAGAAGCACACCGATTTAGTTTCTACAGTTAAGTATTTACAGAGTAGATCGCATGTTTTCAGGATTTCCAGGAGCTGCTTGTAGAATACAAATGCACAGTCCTGTCTTCAGGGTCCTCACAGATTTCCAGAGTCACGCCTCACCCCCTTGCTTCATCGCTCCCTACACACCTAGTTATCTATCAGGAAGGAGGAGTATGGCTGCCCGAGGAGGGAGGACAAGCCCGGAGCCAAGGGTACCCACAGCACAGTCTGGGAAGTGACTGCACCAGCAGGACACAGTCCCACAGCACCTGAGCAAGGTAGGATGGTGACAGTCACCGGTCCCACTGACAGCCCAGGCATCACCAGACCACACAAGGCAATGAGTCGGAGCCAAGGTCAAGTGAGTCTGGATGAGCAGGGGGCAGGGGGGAACATGGCTGTACCTGTGGTACAGCTTCAGCAAGGACTGGGGACTTGCCTGAAGGCGGGTTCCTGGCCACGGGCAGAGGTCCCAGGCAGGCTAGTCAGGGCAATTAATGCCTGTTGGTGCACCTAGGATATGGTACTGCCCTTGCACCAAACTACTCTGATATGCTTCTACCAGCCATCACCTAAATCACCCCGAACCACTCTGTAAACTTTAATTCTACTTCAGCTATATATGACTGCAGCATATTTGTTGGAGCTGTCCACATGTCTATAGAACCACTGAATTCTTTCATCCTGTTTTTGCTTCATCCCTCTCACAGCTCTGACACTGAAGAAACTTGCACATAAAGAATCAAGAAAAAAATAGGCCTGCGAAGATCTTACAATGAAATCTAGTCCAGATCCATGGAAGTGGATCCTCTGCAACACCAGGCAGAATACTATGTTTTGGATATCTAGCCTGTTCCTAAAGACTTTCAGCAATGAGAAACAGCGCAGTCTCCAAGAAAATGTATTCTTCATTATCTATACCATTAAAATACTTTTTAAATCTGAAACCGCTTCTGGTACTCCCCCATGACTTAGCTTTAAAGAAGTATGGACTTAGATGCATGACAGGGCTTTAAATAAGTGCATGGCCAGTTATGGCTCATTAGATGCATAGTTAACAATTGCAGTGGTATTATGGTTGCACATTTCAGCCCCATATATAGTCTCTTATCAACATACTGTGACAAGAATTATGCACATGTATGTTTATCCAGCTTGATGCTGATTTGTCCCTTAGGAACAATGACATGCAGAGTCACTGTAAGATGAAGCCCTACAATTATGAAATTTTTCAGGGTAGAAGCTTCGTAATTGTCTAGCTTGGATGTGTAAATAATGCATCACAAAATCCTTTAGTTAAATTCCTTAGGAAGGACTAAAGAGTGTGAAGTCAGGGATCCTTCCTAAAGCCTTCACTCTCCACACATTTCTGCTCCAAGAAGGCACCCAAATGCCACAAAATTCTCATCCAGAATAAAAGTTCACTTTGGCATCATCAGTCAAAGGATACCACTCACGGCACCATGGGATTTAAGAGAGAAAGCATGTTTACCTTGACAGATGACCACGTTATTTCGAGGCATATGGTAGTCTGACTCTTGTAATGTTGCCAGGTACTCCCTTGTATGTTGGGTGCTGACTATTCCAAATGGGTTCAGATGGAAGTTATCTTAAATTAAAACTATGTTCAGTCCTAAGAAACAAGTGTTGTTTATTAAGAAATAAAATATCTTGAAAATACTTTCACAAGCGTATTTACACATACATAGAAACACTATAGCTCTAATCTTTTGGACTTAAAAACAGACTTATCTCTATAATCTTCAAAATAAAAAAGATAGTGTTTTAAATTACAGAAATCACACATCAGCAAAGTCACACATCAGCAGTAACATTTACATAATTACATTTGGTGTAAATTTCAAGACAAAGAAAACAGTAAACCAGGCTTCAATAAAAACAAAATTATTTTTAAAATGTATGTTCTAATTAGAGGAAATAAAAATAATCTTAGAAGGTTAAAAATGATTCTGTTATAGGTTGAACACTATTGGAGAAAATAAATTTGTCAAAGGAAACAGACTGTCATATTGTTTTTTTGGGTTACCTCAAGGGTTGAATTCGCATTTCCCTAGACTACTACGATAAATAATTATTACTCATTGTTTGCTCCAGACATAACCCAAACTAGTACATTGATTACTTGAAATGAACAAGTTAATTCAATATTGCAGAAATGCCAATCGTTCATTTATTTTGTTGTTCTTTCAGTGGGATTTTTAAGAGTAAGGAATGTGGTGCTGGATCACTAAATGCTGATAAAATTGTAATATTTTAGACTAGTTTAAGGAAAAAATGAAGAAAATCTCCATCATGTGCTTCAACTGAAAGGTCTCATTTGTCTATGCATAATGTACTTGTGATAGTCAGAAACCAACAGAAGAGGTACTACATTCAGAAGTTGATTGCAAGAGTCCAAGCAGGCTGTTTGCCTATGAATACAGCCAATGCTAACTGTTTACATCTACTTAATGCTGTGCCATGAGAATCCTTCTTCCTTTGGATAGCCACATTCCCAAAAGAACTAATCGTAGTATATATGCTAAGCATGGTGGTCAGACAACATCTTTCTTACATGATACTGAAAGTCCTAAACAGCAAACCAAACAGCTTTTACTCTGGACTGTTCCATATTGGCTTTAGAAATACAATAATGCTTCATTCTTCCGACACAGCTATCAGATATATTCAATGCATTTTACTGAGAAGAATAAACTAAAACCCATAGCCCCCTTATGAGGTAGGTAAGTCAGATTCTCTCCGGTTTAAAGCAGAAAATTGAGGCACAGTACAACTAAGTCCATGACACTGCTTGAACCCAATCCTCCTCCCAGTTTTATTCTAAGATCACACATAAAAATGAATGAAGTAATACAGGTACACAAATGGATCGGTATTCCTGTCAAAATATATAAACTTTACCTGTAACAGTTTACTTCATTCTATTGAAACACCGCCTAAAAATAAGTCCTGATAAATATAGTATAATAAAGTCTGAAAACATTATGATAATGGTTTTATAAAAACCTGAGATTAATCCTTGATGGACTTAATTCATTTGGTGAACAGAATCTCACACTTTTAAGAAAACATGAAAAATGAGATCATCTGATAAGACTGTTAGACTGAGGCTCACGTTGCATTTGATAATGGGGCAGATTTGAAAGCATTTACTGCGCTGGCTGCAAAAACTCTGACGTGAACACAGCTTCTGCATAATCCTCACAAACATCCTGCAGCTCTGCTGCCACATCACATAGGGCTTCTTCTGCTAGTTGCTCTGCAAGACTGAGGGAGAGGGAGGGGAAAAAAAGAAAAGGTTCAGAAAGTCAGATTTCAAATTCCAGTCATTCACTCCATTGATATCAATGCTCTGATTTGAAAAGGCAAATACTCATATTTTTTCATTCTTTCTACTGCTTAGCCCAAGAAAAGATCTGTGTTCTGATATGTGTTATATAAGATATCAGAAATTCCTTCCTCAGTCTGGGTCATAGCAAAGGACATACTTCAGGCTTAAAAGTGTTTAGAGATCTCAGTTGCTTCCTTTTTTCAAACTCTTAGATGCTAATCCTGTTTTGGGAATAAGAGTTAACATACTACGGTGTTCATCCACAGGCCACTGAAGTAAATGGGAAGCTTCTTACTGATTTTAGCTGCCACTGAACCAGGCCTTACTGAGAGCAATAAAGTTTAAGGAAAAGTGGGATGAGAAATTTCACTTTTCAGTGATGTCTGGACCACAGCAGATGTTACAGAAGGAAAAACTATTTTAGTGTAAGAACACAGTTTACTGGCCTCTTGAAAACTCCTCTTCAGAGTTTTGCATATATTCTAAAATATAAAGTTAGTCTTTCTAAGACCTTTTGAGCATAGCATGGGAGTGTTTCTTTTACACGTTGTGTGATACTGTTTTATATAAAAGATTTATAATGCCCTCTGGTGGTAAGAATAAGTCAATGAAGCATGCTAGATAGCAGATTGCATTTGTAGTTTGATTTCAAGTAACAGCATTTATCAGGCAAATGGCAGCAGTGGAATTCAGCTGTCAGAAGGAGAAATTCACTGCCATTTAATCCATCTGCCAATCCCAAGAAGGTGTCAGTCCTTGAACTACCCAGCTTCACACCGATTAGGAAAAGGAGTACAGTTCAGAAGGCAGAATGACAGTACTGAGAACTGACAAGGCATATTTCAGTGGTTTAGTTCAGCAGATTCAAATACAGTGGTCTAACCACAGTTATTAAAACATTTGCCTACTTATCCACAGTTGGGCAAACCTTCAACGCACATGATTAACTTCACGCATGCAAGTAATCTCAAATATTGCAGGACCTGTTCCTGGAAATACTGATGCAGACACCAAATGTTACTCAAATAAGCTATACCACCGATTTCCATGCTATTACATTAAAAATGTGTGCAGAAGTTGAAGAACTCTTGGCAATTAAGCCTGATGTCCAATCTGCCAATACAGAAAATTATGGCAAACCACTCCATCTACAACCACTGAAGTTATATTTTATAATTCTTTCTCAGTACTCCAGAGTTTTCTCCTTTCACTTCTCTCCACTCATAGTCAGAAGTCTTTTGATTTCCACTCTGCAGGGAATTAATGGCCTTTCTATGCCAACTGATGTTGTGCCAGTATTTCTTCAGTTCTGAAAGAACAGGACTAGCAAGGTTCAAATTCAGCCTATATTTCCATGCTTTTTTTGGGCTGGGACTTTACAAGACCAATAGGTGATTTCTAAAATATATCATACGTATTGAGAACGATTTCTAGGCAATTGTAGGCAATCACTCAAGAAAAGTGCAAGGAAATGATAACCAGTGATATCACTTAGTTGCTATACCTGTTACTGAGCAATCAAAACACTTATTTGAGCTTCAGTGCAAGGTGGATATTTCAGCTCACATTGCCCTGCTTGCTTAGAGAAACTGAGTATGATAAATAATTTTTCTTTGCCAAGAAGTGAACAGCAGAGAGGCTGTTACTTACTGCTTGTTCACCTCTTCTATTTGTACTAAGGGATGGTAAGCCACCTACGTCACACTTCCCACAGTGAACTCCATGAAGCATGAAGACTTGTGGAAGAGGAAGCACCAAATCTGCGCTAAGGCCAGTGGTCTCTTTTAAAGAGTATCTACTGTTGTTCCTTGAAATATCAACTTCATAATCCATCACCACAAAGATTAAAATTTGCACAGTTATTTACAGTGCTTTATTTCTTTTTCACTCAACAACAACAGAAAAAAAAGTTAATTTTGTTTTCCTTCAATTTACCTGTTGACGATAGTCTTCTGAAAATAATTTAAGTTATCCTGTATTTCACACAGTTGTTTTTGTGGTAACACCATAGAAAGATGTGAAAAATAATCACTCCTCCAGGACATTCTGCTCCCATATCCTTTCGTTTTGTCCAACTACCTTAAAAATCCATGAACACCAAGTACCAGTAGAGAAACAGTCCAATAGTCGACTGCTTTTGGCTTTCAATTTGGAATTTAAATGGCCCCCTCCCCACTCCTTTCCTGAATAAGGACAGAAAAACCTGTTAAATCAGCTGATACATTCACTTCAAAAACACAAAGATAGTTCATATACCTCTCAGCAATCCGCCATGGATTGAAACTGCCTATCGCCTCATGGGAAATAAGCTTTAAGTGATGCTTGTATCTGCTGTTATAATCCAAGATGCTCTGGAGCATATGCTTTGGCACAGAGAGAGACACATAGCACTCTTTCTGTAGCGAATTCTGAGTCAAGGGCTGCAGAATGTCATTTCCAGTCCGCAAGTTCTCCTCTGATTCTTTGTTTTCATCAGTATCACTGGAAATATAAAATAGTCATTAAGCCAGAACTAGATTTTCAAGTACCTTTTTGAAGGATCAGAAAATCTCTTCAAACAGTAACCATCATTTTCTGTAATGAAAACATTATAAAGACGACACACAGCTCACATGCACCACAGCTTAAGCGTAGGGCCGAATATTCTACTTACTTGCCATCAAAAAGTTTTTCAAATAAAATGTCAATTTCTGGCTCTGTGTGTCCGATTGATTTGGTTATCTGAATTGGATGAGGAGATGTAGGTCTTTTAGCTATCGATGCAATTTGTTGTTCTAGAAGGAAGAAAATAACATTTAAAATTGTTTCTTTGGAAGAGAAAAACTACATTTATTGCAGGTAAGTCCTCACAAAGACTTTTGCTTCTTTTAAGGGGAAGTCCTTCAGATAAGTAAAGTATTGAAGGTGATGAGCCCCTAAAATGGGAATTCCAGATAGAATTTCCAAGAGCTCAGTGTATCAAAGCTGAGCATTTTAGAAATCCTACCTTTAGTGTAAATAGTTTGTTGTGTCAGTGGATACTTCTAGAGAAGAGACAGAAAATAGCACTCTCAAACTAGTGTAGTCTATTAAGCTTGGCAGTAAATCCAAGACATGGAAAAAAAAATCCAACAAGATTTGGGCTAAGTCTTCACCAGTCTTATTGTGAGATTTTCCAACCAGCGTAAAACAACACAGTTCCATTCAAGTCAATATGTGATCCGATACTCAGCTTGGAATATCACTGTAGCATCAATCAAATAGCAGGATAATGAACAGAGCAGGGGGATGGGAAAAACAAGAAGCATAAGTCATCCTTATTAGCATGCCACTGTGGCAAACAGTATTGAAGTATGTACATTTATGTACGGGAAACATCAAATTATTGTTTGGAATGCTACCTTTCATTAGTGAACAGTTTCCTACTAATATTACTTAGGTCCCTCTCAATTAAAAAATTAATCTGATGTGAAAAGTTAGTTATATCTTTCATCTGAAGGACTTTACATTCTTTATTTTCCATCCAATAAAAACAAGCAGGAAAAGTGTGATTAATGTGAACTGGAAGCATCCAAACTGTTTTTTTCAAGGATTAAATACTTTTTGCTGAAGCATATTGGATAATGAATTCTGTACAGAAAAATCCAGATTTTCTGAGTGTCCTGGTTTCAGCTGGGATAGAGTTAATTTTCTTCCTAGAAGCTGGTACAGCACTGTGTTTTGGATTTAGGATGAGAATAACGTTAATAACACCCCGATGTTTTAGTTGTTGCTAAGTAGTGCTTACGCTAGTTAAGGACTTTTCAGCTTCTCATGCCCTGCCAGCGAGAAGCTGGGAGGGGGCACTGCCAGGACAGCTGACCCAAACTGGCCAAAGGGGTATTCCATACCATGTGACGTCATGCTCAGTATATAAACTGGGGGGAGCTGGCTAGGGGGCAGTGACCACTGCTGGGGAACTGGCTAGGCATCAGTCGGCGGGGGGGGGGGAATTGTATTGTGCGTCACTTATTTTGTATATTCTTTTATCATTATTATTTTCCTTTCCTTTTCTGTTCTATTAAACTGTCTTTATCTCAACCCACGAATTTTACCTTTTATTTTCTTTTTCCCCACACTCTTTTTTTTTTTTTTTTTTTTTCCCCCCCCCCCCCAACCCCTGGGGGGGGGGGGGGGGGGGAGTGAGCAAACAGTTGTGTGGTGTTTAGCTGCCTGCTGGGTTAAATCACAACACTGAGGCTATAAAAATTAAACTTGCATGTATGCTGCAAGATCTAAAAACAATATCACCATCACTTGAAAGGAATAAGGAAGGAGAAAAATCTTCTAAGCTTAAGTAATTTAATATTATCTTCTGTGTACTGCCAGAAGAACCTTAAACTGTCGTGGATTCACTGCTACACTAATATTTACCTAACATTTACTCTTGAACTCTAAGCCATTTAAACTGACAGTTTATTAAAACAAAGGAAAGAAAATGGGAGAAGCAAACTAGAAGATAAATATCTGCTTGCTCCTGCCTAAGCAAATCAACAGCAGGAACAAACTGAGACTGTTTCACTATACCTTACCTCAACCTGTGAACTCTTAAGAATAGTTTTGAATTCATCAGCATGAAAATGATTACTGCTAAGTAATTAATGGTGTTTCAAAGGAATCAAGTCAAATGAGAACACACTAAATACTCATTTCAAGATTAAGATTTACAGATTTGCCAGTTCTTTTCTCAAAACTGAAGACAGGCAAGTCATGAAGAGCTTAACAAGAAAATGAGTGAAGTGGCTTTAGGATACCTCAGACTTAGAAAGTAAACTAGCTGTCTTCTGGAGTAAATTCAAGTAGCTTACAGATGAATTGGAGTGTATGTACTTATGGAACATCGTCTTCACTGCACAAAAATCATTACACACATTTTGGTAGAAATGAACATATCTAAGCTAAGGAACGACAAATGCCTAGAAAATGGACAACAACATTCAAACTTAACATTTGATGATTTGAAGTATGTGTTAAAGATTTCTATCCTTCAGCTAAGTTGCACTAGCAGCGCTTTCCATCCAAATGCAGCCCCAATACAATCAAGTAGAAAATGACAGCCTGTTCTCAGAAGAGATCCTTCCCCTTTAAAATATTGATTTAAGAACTGTATTTTAGAAACAGTCCTCTGAAAGAACCGCCTATAGTAAAAAATGTGTCTGGATGGTGCTATTTGATCACACATAACCCAATGATTTTGATTTCAAAACATCTGAATTTAAAGATACAGATTACAGGGAAAAGCAAGTTGCATTAAAAAGACACTTACCCATTTTGTCTTCCTGGACCCAGAACTCCGAATCACTGTACACAATTTGGGTGAATCTCCTGCGTACAGCCTCCTGGTATCTCTGGTTTTGAACATACAAAATTAATCAATCACACATACTTAGCAGTTCAGCTGTACTAGTTATCACCCAATAGGAAAGCAGGTCACGATCCTCCTTGGTCAAAGTAGGCTTATTTTGCCTAGTTAACATAACACAGAAAAGGGGTAGGCAGGGTGAAATCACAGATAATCATCTCGTTCAAAATGCCATACAAGACTCAACTAGTAGCCAGTACCATGGCAACTCCTCCCATTTCAGATCAACAGCAGTTAGCCAAACAACTGAAGGGCCCTCATGCTGTTCCTGCGTTACCACCAGTGAATTCAAATGTATGCTCAAATGCCTCATATGGATAAGGACACTGCACAATGTAAGCTTCACGCTTCCAACTTACTAATAGATCTCTAGAAGTAAATGGCACTAAACTCAGTAGTTCTAAGTTAAGATAATTTCACTTAACAGGAAGGTAGAGATGAAACTTTAACCAAAACCTATGGAAAAGCTGATCAAAGAAAAATTTTTAAGAAAGCAATATATGACAAAGTTCAAGTCAAGTAAATGATAACCTCATGAATATTTACATAGCAAGATGGATAAATAAGGGCACATACAACGATGCATTTGTCTGACTTCCCCATGTTGCCCCATAAAATATTTTGGATTGCCAGAGCATATTTCCTTGAGATGCTCATGCTACTAGAATACTAGGATCCTGTATCACCAAAAAAATGAGGGAAAAAAATTAAATTAATAAATATTCAAATACTTTCCAATCTGTGAGACAATCAACATAATCACCATACTGATTCTCCCATTCACATATGATGATCTAAGCCACAAAGTCTTGAGGCAGGAAGCAAACTCAGGTCTACCAACTCTAAAGCCATCACTAAAACTATTAGGGCAAACATTCTTCTTCTATTCTTACACTACTTTTTGCTGGAAGTGCAAACTCCTTCCAAGTCTTTCATTTCATACGCTGATCCAGTCAGACCTTGCTTCACACTTAAGACTGTAGATACTTACAGATATTACAATTTATGGACAGTAAACAAGAAATTGGCACTGATGAGACCAAACGAGAGAAAATCTTACTTCAATTTCTTCCATTCTTTGCAACATTGACTCCAGACTATGAGTGTCAGCCATAGGCAGAGCCTCGGTCTGGAGTCTCTCATGCTGCTCCATACTCCACAGTTCCTGAGCAGTATCTTCCAAAAGATCATCCAATAGCTTTTCACTCAGAGTATCTGCATTTGCTGCAACCTGCTATTAAAAAAAAAAACAACCCACAAACCAAGAAAACCAATGAAAAACCACACAGCCAATGCAAGAAAGAAAAAAAAACCCAAAAACAACTGGGGGGAAAGAATGCTTACAAATCAAACATTTCTTACAGCAGCTCATAGAAATAATCCAATTGTTATCTCAACTTTTCCCTTCAATGAAAATCCAAATAAATTCCTGTTTTCCTTCCACCTACACAATAAGCCAAATCAATAAAAACAGGTTAGTATGTTCCTTCCAATAAAATCAATGAATATGGAAAAAGCTTGCTACACAACTATGTTCCCAAATTGAAGACGAAAATGGCACAGGTTCAGAGATTACCCAGGAATTCAAGAAAGTGAAGTGAAGGCCCTCATCTTACAAAACACTACACACACATTTAACTTCTCTTACAGGAACAGTCTCACAGCAGCTCCAGGTGGTAATGAGTATATTATATATGAGATCCAGGCCACAGCCATAGATTTCAGTTGTGTCCAATTTTACCAATTAGCCATGGTATGATATCACTATTCATTTATCTGTATTATTTTACATGAAAACATTTTGCCCCCTAAGCAACTTTATGCATTCAAGGTCACATCAAGCAAAAAATATGCAAGAGAGATGATGCTAGAAAGAGCTTTCTCATTGTTTCATATTGTACATGGTTACAGAGCAATACTTTAGAAGGCACACATGCCCATACAATGTCACTGTTTTAAAGATGTGGCTTATGTAAGTTGAAATTGCTAAGTTCTGGAAATCAGTACGACTTTTCCAGTTGCATTCTGCTGTATGGCAAAGATAAAAATTCATCTTAAATGTCAAACAGCTTTACTCTATGACATACAGACAGAATATACCTTCTCAGCTGCATGAGTTAAAAGGTGGTTTATAAATGAAGAATCCTTCAAATGACCATTTGTTTCCAAGGAGAGATTGATCTTCTAAATAAACATAAATCCTCTCATGATAATCAAGCTTTCTGTATTATTAGTCATTACTCGTCCAAATGTATTTAGTCATTAAATATGGTATTATAAGAATTATTAAAATAACCTTATCAAGTCCAGTCATGTTCAGTGTGGAACTGTTATGACCATTCAAAAACAACTTAAAAATGCATCTACTTGACAAGAAGCTAACCAAAATATTTAATGCAGCTTTGCCAAACTTCATTACAGTAATTCAAGACCCACATACACGGAAATGGAAATACATTCTCCAAATGTCCAAAACTGTTGACTACATAAATATGACTTGCATTAAGTTGAAAAGAAACTGTGTGTTGCCCCTTTGTAAGTGTTTTACAGCTCTAAAGGCATCCTTCAAACAGTAGCATGAGCTTGATTGTACTACCTGTGTCCTATCTAATAGAGGTTCTAAGCGCTCCCGTACTGCCTTCTCAACTTTGTCTGCACACTGGGTTGGAGAAGCACTTTGTGACCTACACAAAAAAGAACAAATGACAACGGCATTCTGAAACTTGGTATGACAACAATAATTTAAAAATCCCAAACATATAAATGTACTTTTTGGGGGACTGGTAGGAGTGCAGAGAAGACCATATCAGATCTGACACCATTTATTAGCTCCTCAAAGTACATCATTACCTTAACTTTTGTATTTTTTTCATTTCTCCTCTGCTAAGGTCAGTTAGAACCTTCACTCTTCTTGAAGTTTCTCCTTCAAGCCATGCTAGTCTTCAAAAATAAAACAGTAACATAGAGGGTTACAAAATGCACATTCTAACAACTGGAGAATGAAATCACATGATTCTGAGTATTATTATATTAATTATATAATATATATAAGTGTATTATCTTAGGTTAGAAAACTTGCAAAAAAACTTCAGAGAGAAAATTAATATTGACTTTAAGACCATAAAAGCCAGGAAAATCTGTTGAGAATCAGGGATCTTCAATTATGTTTCTGCTACTGGCAAACAGGCAACTTCATGGCTATCCACAAATACTGCCCGGAGAGACAAGCTCCTTATCTTACCACGCACACTGCCTACTACAGATTCAGCAGCTGGATCAGCAGTTGGATCTCCTGCTTCAACTGCCACAAACGGCAGTCCCAAAGCAAACTAAATTTGGGGAGCCCTGGTCTACAGGATGCTGAATATAGTTTAAAATAAACAAACCTGCACTCTGTTACTGGCTAAGACAAAGATATATATTTTGTCCTCCTGAAACAGGGAGATAATATTTACCCTCTTAATGCAGTGCTGTGAATATCCATTCTGCATACTGTGTATTTTGTCAATGCCCTGCCTAGCACAGTTTGGCCTGTGACTCCCAGACAATACTTGGACTTGATCCAGGAAAAAGCATAAAGCAATGGCTCTTCCCAGGCTGTATGAGTGAGGCCACTTTGTGTCGAGTGGGAAAAGAATACAACTATACGGTAGCAAGCCGTGCTGTGCCACTTGCCTTCATGGTCTGACAGCCAGGCCAAATCCATCCTATTTACTAGTACAGATATAGCAGCATTTCCACAGGAAAGCAGGGTAAAGACAGGTTCCACTAGACTGTGAACATACCGCTTAGGTGAAACAGGTGGAGATGTAGGGTTTGGAGGCACGCAGGGTATTCTGCTCTCCTTAACAAGTCGTTTGTTCTCTTTTAGCTGGAAAGCTATAGTTGTCTCCTGAAATCGTGCATGCTTTCCTTGAGGCT